GACATTTATTAATTTCTGTTTTATCTTTAGACTTGCAGCAACTTGCTGGTACTTTCTTTTCACCAGAAAACTTACTATTTTTTTTGGCCCAAATGTTATATCCCTGTTCTACATCCTCATCAATACCACAGCATTTAAACTGAGACTGAACAGCATTCCAAGCATCAGTTACTGCTGTATCATTGTCGTACAATGGAATGGTCATGATCATCTCTGTACGCATTCTATTCTCTACCTCATTTCTGAAGACATAGGCAAGAATTCCTCCAACGAGCATTGTTATGAAGATCATAAAGAGAATGATGAAGAAAGTCAAAAGCATGCATTTGACTTCCCTCATAGCTCCCATGCATCCCAAAAATGATACGACAGTAACAATAACACCAGTGGCAATTAAAATGCTGGCAGAACTTGTATACAAGTCACTACCTAAAAGACGTTCCATAAACGCTTTGTCTGCTAAGGTCCATACTCCAATGGAAAAAACAACAATTCCTCCAATCAAAATGACGAAATTTGCCATGAACAATGCATATTTGATGGCTTTCCCCATTCCTTCCACCATTTTCGTCTATCTTTTAAAATGTCTTTCTTATATACATGTTTCTTCACTCAGAATTAAAATCGTTCAAAATTCCTTTCATTGACAGGTGAGGAATCAATAACCACTAGCAACACCTAGCGGTCTGGCATGAAAGCCGCTGGTGTTGCTAGCTTATATAGTAAAATATAATTATTTGTATAAATGAGGTAATGTATGTATGAGGTAAATGTAAAAATGAGGTAAAATATAATTATTTAAATAATTATATTTTACCTCATTTGTGTGCATGCTAGAAGTGATGTACAAAGATGCAATATTCTTAGTGGCATAACAAATTGTTTTTAAAAGAAACTATAATAAATTGAAAGTTTTGTGCATCTCTCTTTGTGTGTGGAATGGCAAGTGCAGCCATTCAATGTCAGCTCTCTCTTGGTTAGTTTGTCTCTACTCTTTATAGGTCTCTTCTCTCATTACAGCTAAAATTTTCTATTATTAAATAACTGTTGTTTATTAGAGTTATGAGGTCCTTTGTCACAGTCACTTGCTTTACCACAATATCATTATTCTATATATTAATTGAAAGAGGGTTTCAGCTTTTCTGACTTAGTTTGAGTAAATGGCTGGGACTAAAAATATTTTGGAGTGTCTAGAATGAATTAATTGGATTTACATTGATTCATATGGAAATAATTGCCTCGGTTTTTGTTGGTTTTGGATTTCACGGATTGTCAACAGAAACCAAGTTATCACTGTAACTAAAACTGTCAAACCTCAACAAAAGTATAAAGAAATTGCAATGAAAGAGTAAATTAAGTGTGAATTAGTTTGCTATTTAGAAATGACCACTCCCTACAAAATAATTTTATTTCAAATAAAAAGAACAAAATAAGTGTTTTTTTTTTTAATATTATAAAACAACTAATATAATTAAAAGAATAATAACATAGGTCTGCAAGTAAAAAACTGCATAGGACTTTTATACATTTTCTTATAGATTTCAACTTGGTAAAAAAAAAAAATGTTAATGGTTGAAGAGAGTAGTGGTAGGGGGAGGTGAGTTAAGTAGTTTTAGCGTTAGAAGGAAGGTCGCATGATCGTGTAGAGACAGGTTAAAAGTTGATAGTGAGTAATATTACTGATGAGGTTGAGCATGTTTCGACATATTATCTGGGACACTAGGAATAAATATAAACAACCTGCTGTTGGATTAGATCATGTTTCAACAAGCTAAATAAGTTCAGTATCTCGCTGGCCATCTAATGTCACACTCAATTTATATCCAGCATTCGAATGCTACCGTGCTTGTATTTTTATTTCTGGAATATGACTCGCAGAGGTTGTGTAATTTCTCCTGACTGCTTCTGTTATGTTTGTGGTGAATACACAGTGAAAAGTCAACATTCTCTTTATCTGATCCCTTCTTTTTGGAAACAATGGGAGAAAAGGAAAAAGAAGCATGGGATTCTTTCAAGAATGTAGTGCATAAATTTTTGGGGAATATTAAGAACCCTGAATACAAAACCATTGTATAACACATGCTGGCAGTGTATGAAACTCAAGGATGCAAGGTGAACTTAAAAGTTCATTTCTTACACTCCCATATTGACTATTTTCCCGAAAACTTGGGAGCCTACAGTGAAGAACAGGGTGAAAGATTTCACCAGGATGTCCATGATATCGAGAGACGTTACCAAGGAAAATGGGATGTCAATATGTTAGCTGACTGCTGTTGGATGCTCAATCGACAAACCAGAGAAGGAAATCAGAAAAGAGTTCGGAGAAGAAGAAAAGGTGTCATAAGAAAAAAAGAGTAGACCTAAAATTGCGTATAAATATCAGAAACAATTTTTTGATTAGTTGTAAGAAAATATAATATATTTAGTTCATTGTAATAAATAAGAGTTTTTATCAAATATTTGTTTTTATTTTGCAAAAAACCTATACGTGATGGGATGTTATGGAAGTTATTTTTAGAATCTCTGATCTTTAAAACATATAATTCAGCAAAAATATCCCATGCAGCTGGAAAAGAAAATTTTTTTGCAGACCTGTGTAAGTGACAAACAGTAGCACAAATAATAGCAGCAAGACAATCCTGATTCTTTTCTCATTGCCATTCTCCCACCTAAAACAAATTTGAATTCTACTACTGAGATGATGACTTCCTATCACTAAAGTATGCCTGAAGGGTAAAAAGAATTTTGTATTCAGGTACAGATAAATAATAATAATAAGAATAATAATAATGTTAACTCTTAATAAATTTTCAGAGTTTAAAGTGCTTATAACAATATTGTTCACTACTATAAACAGTCAATTTAGTCAAGTTTTTTTTAATAATTATTCTTTCTCTTCGCATAATTGATAATTTTAATGTAAAGTAAGCTATTTATCTTATTATCATACTAATTATGTTATAATTTCCCTATTTTTAATTTAACCATTCATTTTCTTACTTAACATTGAGGAATATGAGCAAAGTCTAGATGTTGAGGGTCTGATATCCTCAACACTTAGACAGTTGACTAAAATGAAAGTTATTCTATTTCAAGACAATGAAGCCATAAAGCTGAGTAAGCACAGAAGAATAAACTTTGGTAAAGTCACACACAGAACATGCATTATGATAACACTGGTTGAAGATGTCATTGTTGATTCTTCTCAAGAAACACAAATTCTTGATATCACATAGGCTCTAGAATGCTTCAGACAATATAGCAAAGCTTTTGCATCAGATTTCGGGAGCTAGATTGAGCCTTTAGTCATTCCTTCAGCTACTAATGCAAGACACTGTCTTCTCAAAATAGTTCCTTGACCTGAGTGTTCAATCAACTTATTTCTATCTTGGATGCTGTCAAATGTACTCCAAGTTGTTTGGCTTTACATTTTGAGTGTAAAAAAAAAAAAAGACTGAAGGCAGTAGTAGAAACATCTTTCATTTTAGTGAGTGTTGTCATAATGGAAAAGTAAAGTTGTATTATAAATTAATAATTATTATAAAAGGGCTTAATTTTGTGTGGTTAGAGATAAGTTTTTAAAATATTTGTAAATCCCAGTAGCAAGTAATATTTTCATTCAGCATGTTGCCTCGAGATATGACCCACATCCCCTCTTCTACTTCTCCACTCCTTGACCTTTAATTATCAAAAATAAGATGCTAACACAAATGTGCAGAATTTTACAAGGATTTTTTTCATTTTTGGGTTCTTGGAGTGTCAAAATATCAAGAAATGCAAAACAATTTTTTGATTAGTTGTAAGAAAATATAATATATTTAGTTCANACTCCAATATAACACGACATTATTTATTTTAAGAGTTTAATAAATATATTTAATATTCATTATTATTTTACCAATCACTTTTATTTATAGACGCAAAATTAGAACTTAAGAACATTGGAAAAGCTTCCTGTTCAAATCAACAAGAAAAAAATGAAAATAAAAATGACCTATTTCATCCATTCAGTAAAGTTGCTCTTTATCCGTGGAGAGGTAATTGTCTGTTTTTTAAATATACGAATATTGTTCGAATTTGTGTATTGGCGTGTATTTCGCTTAATATCTCAGAACGGGGTGGAGGCAAGGAAACGAAATGTCGCACAGCAGTTTGTATGTAAGAAGCATTGACGATTTTAAAATTTGGTTGTGAAAGGTCAAGGGGATAAACAGATACAAGGTACAAGGTACCTGTCATATCTGGCAAGGGGTCAGACTTAATGAAGATTTTACTTGTTGTTAGCATTTACACAGTTTTATAATCTCATCTCTACCTTCAAAATCATGTCTTTTGCTATTTTATAATAATTAAAAATATATAAAGTTTTTATAACAAAATCACATAACAGATGACGCCACATATGATCTTAGTTATTTATTTTGGTTTATAATATGTTATTTTTAAAATAAAATTTCATAAAATCCATGAAAGTTATGCAACTCGTTGCTAGATTTTTTTGTATGGAATGAGAAAGATGAGTTCTGTTTAAATATAATTTTTATATGTAGATTCACCTAAACACAAAATTTCCAGCAAAACACCCAAATTCAACATAGTAATTTGGGTATTTTGCTGGAAATTTTGTGTAAGATTTTTGTGGCAATGCAACATAGACTGTTGATTGAAGACTGTTCATTTTCCTCCTTGGTTCAAGCTCAGTAGACATTGTTTTTTGTTTTCTTTCAGAGCAGGCTACTGCAGAAATGTGTGTTAATGTTTCCAGTTGTATAATCTATAACCTCTTCTCATAACAAACAAGTTGTTGCACAGTTAGCATAGGAGAACTGAACCACCACAAAAATCTTGTTGAATTTTTCAGCATATTATCTGCATTTTTGTTTATAAGTTGCTTTTCACTATTGGCATTTTACTCAACTGACCAGTTGAATTTTGACCATTACTACTGGCATCTATAGATGTCTTCATTTTAATAGTTTAATTACAAATTTAAATAGTTTTGAATAATAGTAATTTGTTTTAAATCTGCCTATTAAATTTCAAGTCAAGACAACCAGTAGATTTTACATTATGCACATTTTTATGGTGACTCTTCACATGAAAACATGAAACTGTCAAATTTTTCAGTTTTTGTGGTAGATCAGGCATGGCCAACATGCAGGCTGGATCTGGCCTGTGTAATGAATTTATGTGGTCCACAACCAATCTTTCAATATTAGCTACTCAAGTCTGAACAGCTCGATGAAAAATTCTTAAGCCTAAAAAAAAGTCAACAACTCACTGTATGTTTAGTGTTAACCCTCCATTACAAATCTTGTAAGTACAGCGTAGAATGTTGATAAAGCATAATAATGTGAAAAATGTATCTGTAATCTCTATCTACAATTCAGTCTCTACAGGGTGACACCACAATGAGATCTCACACCACCTCAAAATCTTCTTAGGGCAGCCTCTGGTTCGGCCTGTGAAAAAAGTTTTCTTTCCAATTTGGCATGGGGGCAAAAACTGTTGGCCAACCTTGTGGTAGATGTTACTACAAATCTGGTCACCATTGAAGTTGGGATTCCTGAAGCTTGTCCACTTCCATTAGAACAGTGATAATTAGCAATGCGATTAGATGAGGGTAATTTGATTGAAGTTGAATATGCCAGTCAGACATGTTTCAGACTATATATCAATAGAAATAATAAAATAGAGCAGATTTTTGCAAGTTTCACTAAATAAGCCAAAATGTACAAGTATGCTGTATCATTTTAAATATGCATTTATATCTCATAAATTAAGGGTCTTAGGATTTCCAAAATTTTTTCTGCTTTTTACAAGGAATATTGTTTGTTGGATAAATATGAATTTACATAAAAATCTAGGCCTTAGTGATAAATTACTTGAACAATTCCTTGGTATGATGGGGGAAAGAATAACATTCCTGAAATTGACAGCAAAATTAAAAAAAAGAATCAGACATTTAGATTTGCTTTCAGCAAGTCTATTCATTGACTTGTGTAACATGTAAATGTCTGTAGCATGTTGATGAAGAGTAAATAAACATGAAAGATCAAGATTGTCATAAAGCTTCAAATGTAAATATCAAAGCAATTTAATGCTATCTATCAAATTATCTAACCAAATTTATATGTATCTTTTGTAAATAGTAAATAATTAAGATAAAAGTTTAATAAACTTAAAACTTTTATAAATCCTTTGTGCAGATTTCAGATTCTGAAGGTTTTGGACATCTGTGATAAAGATTTGGAAGTAATTATTATTAAAGAGAGATAACTACTGTCTATCAGCATCAAACAGTTTTTATTATAACATTATCGCAAGCATTTTCAACATATTATCAATGTCATCTTCAGGCAAAGAAAAGAACAAAACTTTGGAACATTAGGATAAATTTTAAAAAATGAAACATTAATATGATGCTGTTTAACTGATAGACAGTAGTTATCTCTTTCTTTAATTTAACAATATTTTGGCATTGTGAACTAATCATTTTTATATTATTAAATATTTCTGTGTATTTATGTAGACTTATTATTTTTTTTCATTTATTTCAGAGTAAATTCTTATCGTTTTATCAATATGCAAAGACTTTTAATTCAGATATTTTTGATTACGATGAACTGAAAAATACAGATTATGTTTTTATGAGGTGGAAGGTATGTATATTCGTATTATATCTTAATTGAATAAATTGTCTATAATAAATTAAAAGTGATAATTTTTTTGTTTTGTTTGTATTACTAAATATGTATATATAAGGTGTGTTTCAAATTTATACGGACACGAAAAAATTAAAGTGAAACCCAAATTTGCTGCATTAAGAGACAAATGTTTTATTAAAAATAACATGGATTTACTTGTTTCCACACTGCAAAATAAGAATTTTAATCAAACATTAACATTTTGTCACTGAAAATAATATTTTTTAAAATTTTGTACAAAAAAACTGTTACATAATTATCTGGACAGGTTTCAAATTGCAAAGTTTTCTTACAATTTAATAGCCAATGTAACCACCATTTAACTTAATTACATTAAATACTCGATTAGGCATTGTTTCAATTAGATTCTGAAGGAATTCAATCTTAAGTTTATCCCAAGCATCTGAAATTGCTGCCTTCAAATCATGAATTGTGGAAAACTGCTTTCCATTGGCATAAACTGTACGAACCATCATCCCCCAAAGATTTTCCATCGGATTCAGGTCAGGGCTTCTAGCAGGCCATGTCATCAGATTAATATTTTTACGTTTAAACCACATTTTTGTTGATTTAGAGGCATGCACAGGGGCATTGTCTTGTTGAAAGATCCAATTTGGTCCACAAATATTTGGTCCAGCTTCCAATAAATGATCTTCAAGCATGCCTTGATACTTCTTTGAATTCATTCTTTGAGTTATAAATGCTAAATCTGTGGTTCCGTTGAATCCAAACGCACCCCACACCATTATTGATCCCCCACCCATTTGGCGTTTTGAAAATATTTGTTTTTCGGTTCTTAAATCGTGCCAATAATACTTCCAACCGTCTGGACCATCTAAGTTGAATTTTTTTTCATCACTGAACAAAACTTCAATCCATTCTTCGGACCATGTCATGTGTTTTTGTGCCCAATCAAGTCTGTCACTTTTGTGCTTTAATGAAAGTGGTGGCATTACAGCTTTTTTTCTGAATTTTAACATTGGAGATTTATTTAAAACTCTCCACACTGTTGTGCTGCTACAAGGCAAGTCTAATTCTTGTTTTATTTTTCTTACTGATGTTTGTTTTGTGGAGCAAACCTTGATGATTTGTCTACAATCTCGAGGAGTAAGCTTGGGTTTTGGACCTGTCTTGAATTTTGGTACATCCTTGCCACGTCTTTTTGATAAATAATCACCAACAGTTGATTTTGGACGATTTATATATGCTGCAATTTCTCTTATTGACTTGCCTTGTGATTTATAGGCATCAATCTGCCCTTTTTCATAATCAGATAAATTCTTTGTTCTACCCATTTTAGAACGTTGAACAACGTAAAGAATTTGTATTACAATTAGATATGTAAGCTAATTTGCATATTTCAATGCTTGAAACTAAACAATATTCTGTTTAAGTCATAAAATGAGTGCCTGTCCGGATAAATATGTAACAGTTTTTTTGTATAAGATTTTCAAAAATATTATTTTCAGTGACAAAATGTTAATGTTTGACTAAAATTCTTGTTTTGCAGTGTGGAAACAAGTAAATCCATGTTATTTTTAATAAAACATTTGTCACTTAATGCAGCAAATTTGGGTTTCACTTTAATTTTTTCGTGTCCGTATAAATTTGAAACACACCTTACAGTCACACTTCATTAATTCAAACTTCGTGAATTCAAATTTTTTGGATAATTCAAAGCTGAAGTGGCATAGTGTACATTGAGTGAATAGCAAAATGCAAAAAGCAATTGTGACTTTTGAACATCCAATCATTTATGTCATTGGTAAAAATAAAATACTTCTGGCATTCTGTTTTTAATCACTGTTGCATAATTGTTACAAAAAATGAAAGATATGTTAAAAAAAGAAAATGTTGGGTGAGAAAAATATTTAAAATGTGTTAATTGCAAGATATCATGCTAATTTTGATGTCAATTCTGTTGTGTGATGATTTTGTACCATGTTAAAAACTGCTAGAAACAACTGACAACAAACAGCATTGTGGTAAGTGACAAATTTTTTTTGCTAATGAAAAAGTTTGGAAATTCCAAACTTTCATTAGTAATTTACAAAAGGGTAAAGTTTGCCAGAAATAACATACTGACATGTTATTCACTGTGTTTTTTGTTTTTGCTAGTGATTTACTCTCAGTGTGAATTAAGCTTAACTAGAAAATGTGATAACTAAACTAATTATAGTTTATCAGTATTATTTAATTATTGATGACATTGTTTAATTCAAATTTTGGATAATTTGAACTATTTTGCACTCCTCTTGAACTTCAAACCAACCAAGTTCAACTCTGTATGTATATATGTATATTAATTAAATTATTTCAGAGACACATTTTAAAACAGTTTTTCTTAAGTGCACAATACATTGGAATGTAACTTAGGTTCTGAATTATGATGATTTAGAAAATCAAACCAGAAAAAAGTGCACACAAAAAAAAACCAAAAGAAAAGTTGCACAAAGAAAAAACCTCATATGTTATACTGTAAAGCAGGGGTCACCAAACTTTTTTTATGGGCCAGATAACTGAGAGAATGAAGAGCACGGACCACATAACCATTTTGTTCAATATAGCACACTGAATACACAATAAATAAAGACAAACCAATATATTTATTTACCAACACAAACATGATTACTGGAGCAAGCTTGTAATTGCTTTTGTTAGAAACTTCATTGCAGGTACTTAGACAAAAAGCACTCTGATATCCAAAATTGCAAAAAGTCGCCAAATTTTTTTATTTCACTGATTTTCCTAAAAATTATATTATCGCCTAATGGAAAAATCTGATTGGACCACTTCTCACGTTTATACTTATTTTAATTTTTTATACATAGTAAGTGTAAGTGATTTTTAAAATTTCCACGAAAGTGGAAATTTTAAAAATCAAACTGAAAGTTTCACTCGTATCTCTAATTAATTAGCATGAACAGGGTACAGGAGAGAATCATGCCAACAATCAAGATACATGCAATTCCAATGCCAATTCCACCTACCACTAATGCATGGTCTCTGACAAAATCTCTAACAGCACCATAACAACTCAATTTTATTTGAATAATAACAGCTTTCAAATAGTAACCACATCTCATCCATAAAGGTTGAAATAATAACTGCAGCTACTGTAAAAGGATTTTTCTAAATAAGCATCATTTTCATTTGGAGAATCTTGACATTTATTAATTTCTGTTTTATCTTTAGACTTGCAGCAACTTGCTGGTACTTTCTTTTCACCAGAAAACTTACTATTTTTTTTGGCCCAAATGTTATATCCCTGTTCTACATCCTCATCAATACCACAGCATTTAAACTGAGACTGAACAGCATTCCAAGCATCAGTTACTGCTGTATCATTGTCGTACAATGGAATGGTCATGATCATCTCTGTACGCATTCTATTCTCTACCTCATTTCTGAAGACATAGGCAAGAATTCCTCCAACGAGCATTGTTATGAAGATCATAAAGAGAATGATGAAGAAAGTCAAAAGCATGCATTTGACTTCCCTCATAGCTCCCATGCATCCGAAAAATGATACGACAGTAACAATAACACCAGTGGCAATTAAAATGCTGGCAGAACTTGTATACAAGTCACTACCTAAAAGACGTTCCATAAACGCTTTGTCTGCTAAGGTCCATACTCCAATGGAAAAAACAACAATTCCTCCAATCAAAATGACGAAATTTGCCATGAACAATGCATATTTGATGGCTTTCCCCATTCCTTCCACCATTTTCGTCTATCTTTTAAAATGTCTTTCTTATATACATGTTTCTTCACTCAGAATTAAAATCGTTCAAAATTCCTTTCATTGACAGGTGAGGAATCAATAACCACTAGCAACACCTAGCGGTCTGGCATGAAAGCCGCTGGTGTTGCTAGCTTATATAGTAAAATATAATTATTTGTATAAATGAGGTAATGTATGTATGAGGTAAATGTAAAAATGAGGTAAAATATAATTATTTAAATAATTATATTTTACCTCATTTGTGTGCATGCTAGAAGTGATGTACAAAGATGCAATATTCTTAGTGGCATAACAAATTGTTTTTAAAAGAAACTATAATAAATTGAAAGTTTTGTGCATCTCTCTTTGTGTGTGGAATGGCAAGTGCAGCCATTCAATGTCAGCTCTCTCTTGGTTAGTTTGTCTCTACTCTTTATAGGTCTCTTCTCTCATTACAGCTAAAATTTTCTATTATTAAATAACTGTTGTTTATTAGAGTTATGAGGTCCTTTGTCACAGTCACTTGCTTTACCACAATATCATTATTCTATATATTAATTGAAAGAGGGTTTCAGCTTTTCTGACTTAGTTTGAGTAAATGGCTGGGACTAAAAATATTTTGGAGTGTCTAGAATGAATTAATTGGATTTACATTGATTCATATGGAAATAATTGCCTCGGTTTTTGTTGGTTTTGGATTTCACGGATTGTCAACAGAAACCAAGTTATCACTGTAACTAAAACTGTCAAACCTCAACAAAAGTATAAAGAAATTGCAATGAAAGAGTAAATTAAGTGTGAATTAGTTTGCTATTTAGAAATGACCACTCCCTAAAAATAATTTTATTTCAAATAAAAAGAACAAAATAAGTGTTTTTTTTTTTTAATATTATAAAACAACTAATATAATTAAAAGAATAATAACATAGGTCTGCAAGTAAAAAACTGCATAGGACTTTTATACATTTTCTTATAGATTTCAACTTGGTAAAAAAAAAAAATGTTAATGGTTGAAGAGAGTAGTGGTAGGGGGAGGTGAGTTAAGTAGTTTTAGCGTTAGAAGGAAGGTCGCATGATCGTGTAGAGACAGGTTAAAAGTTGATAGTGAGTAATATTACTGATGAGGTTGAGCATGTTTCGACATATTATCTGGGACACTAGGAATAAATATAAACAACCTGCTGTTGGATTAGATCATGTTTCAACAAGCTAAATAAGTTCAGTATCTCGCTGGCCATCTAATGTCACACTCAATTTATATCGAGCATTCGAATGCTACCGTGCTTGTATTTTTATTTCTGGAATATGACTCGCAGAGGTTGTGTAATTTCTCCTGACTGCTTCTGTTATGTTTGTGGTGAATACACAGTGAAAAGTCAACATTCTCTTTATCTGATCCCTTCTTTTTGGAAACAATGGGAGAAAAGGAAAAAA